AGGTAAAAGAGAAGAAACTCCAAGAGGAAAAAATCACAGCAGCTTCCGTCAGGAAACAGGTAGAGTAAACATTTTGCACCCAACCACCGTTTTGCCTGTGTTTTGTAGAAAATGTAATGCATTTCACCAGAAAAAAAAAGAGAGAGAAACTGAAATTTGTTCAGTTATCTCTTTCCACTTTGGGCTACTAACTCTTGCCAATGTTTTACTCCTTTTTGGATTTTAAGCTTCTAGCTTCACTTCTCCGTAGCATGATCAGTGCATGACAATTGGTTAAGCTGCTCTCTTCTTGGCTCTTGAATCTTCTGGAAATCTATGCATGCTCAATTCTTCACAGCTTCTTTGTCTTCCCTTTCTGTGGCTGATGGTTGGACAAGGAAGGTAGCCAGAGGCATACACCAGGTCCAGAGGCACAGCATGAGCCACGGATGAGCACCTGGGAAACCTTGGTGGTAGAAGTGTTGAATAACCACCCACAAGTATTAGAAGCAAGCACAGCCAGGATCCTGCTGAGCTATGTGAGAACACGAGCACACCAGAGGAGAGGGCGCAATGCGCAAAGGAAAGTCACTGTGCCACCCAAGGGCAGATGCGAGGTTGTATGAGCACAGCTTTGTAAAGCTACAGTAGTAGCAGCTGTTAATAGGGCTTGCGATGGGATTGATGTTTTCCTCTTGAAAAATATTGCAAAAGGGGGAAGAAAATAAAGTGGAAGCTAAAAAAGAAAAGCTACAGGACAAGAAGCTTCAGCCAGCCTTCAGGAAAGAGGAGGTAACTATCACTTGCGGGTAGGGTGGGGCCTGTGGGAAGTAGACTCAAGCCCTTCCTCATGAGCTCCCACAGCAAAGGTCAAAGATCATTGATACAATTTCAAGCTTAGGAGCAACCTGACTTAAGTTCACGTTTTCTCCAGCAGCCATCTTGAAGGCTGTCTCAAGACGTTGGCCAAAAGCAGACAAGAGCTTTTCAAAACTGGCTATATGGTGAAGCATGCTTCAGCTTATTTCAGTTGGTTTTATATTGTACTGTGAGCTGAATATTGAACTTGCTTCTTTGGTGTAGGATGAACATCAGAGAAGTATTTTAAGTTTACCTGGGCTTAGATCACATCTGGAAACACAACCTGGGTCAGAGAAATTGGGCCTCGATTTGTGTGGAATTCCTGAGTGCCCTCCAGTTAAGCCTTCTTGCCTTAATTTCTCCCTTCATTTCGTGACTTTTCTTGATGGAATTAGTGGTTTCGATTATAGATGCCTCAAGATACCTTTAGTTCTGTAATCTGAATTTAACCCAATGATTTTTTCTATTTCTTAATATCAATTATGCACTCTCCAAAATCTCCTTTCCTCTTTTGACTGCCCCCCTCCCTTTGTTTACAAAAAGTGGTGCATTGCATTTCTACTGAAACTCAGAAGCTGGTGCCATGTGTATGGTGTATGGTGAGTAAAATTACTGGTATCAAGCCATCATTTTTAATCATCTTCATGTCGGATATCGCAAATACCAAAATGTACTCTTAGGTTAGCCACTTTTGAATGTTTGGATACTGGTATTTTTATCAAGCTGTTTTATCACCTATCTTACTTGCCATCCGTGAAACAACATCACTTTAAATCAGTCTGTTAGGGGAATTATAATAATTTTGAAAGGATCATTTGTTTAATGTCTGCATTTATAAAATGCCTGTAGGAGAAATTTTATACCATTATGCAACTCAAACACAAAGCTGTAATACAGCGCAGAGTGGAAAAGTCACATCCAACATAGTACTGTAGAAAAACAGGTACAAGCCAATATGGCAAAAAAAACAACAAAAACAAACAAACAAACAAACCCCATCAAAGCAAAATGAGAAGCAATAAGAATGGGCTAAAACCAGTAAAGAATTAAAATAGGAGATAAAACTATTAAAACATAATGAAGATTAAAAGACACCAAAATCCTGGGACAAATTTTAATCTGGTGAAGAAAGAAAAGAAAATTGGCATTGAGCAAATTTCTCGGGGAAAGCATTTTATTGGCATTACCAATAATGTTTTCTCTGTAGTGATCTAACTTCAACAGATGAAGAGTTTTGAACTATAATAATAGACGTATTTTCTCATCCCTCCCTTTTATGCTGAAGGAGTCAATGCAGGGTAACATGTAAAGGTTCAAAAACCAACAAGGAAATGTAGGGTTACTTCTAAGCAGATTCTTTTATTGTTCCTGACCTATAGACAGAAATCTTGCTGAACTAAAGCAACTACTTGCATCGTTAAAGATATACTCTGAAAACTTTTAGGGAGGAGCTATCTTCATGCTCTTTTTCCCAATCAAACAATCTAAACTTTGCTATCTCTTGGTCCTTTGGAATCTAGACTACATTCCAGGACATGATATTTCTTTCTCATGCTTTCTTGTTTTCTTGGACTGGGCTCACATTTTGCTGCACATTTTCCTCAAAGCCACCTCTGTGTTTCTCTACAGATAGATTCAAGGCTTCCATTTAGATATGGAGGTTTAAAACGGAAGTCATGTACTCCTGCAATCACAAAGAACTGGAAAGATACCTCCTAATATGTGAGGATTGGAGTTTCCAGATTTAGAAGCTCCATTGGAGAAGGCTGAAATGAACTGCTCTCTCTGATATGGGATTCCACTGATAATAGCCCTAGGTAGACTTTATGGATAATACTTTTTAGATATGCAACATGCCTTGGGCACCTGAGGGTAGGACAAGAAGCAATGGATGGAAACTAATCAAGGAGAGAAGCAACCTAGAACTAAGATTTATTTTATTTATTTATTATTTCAATTTATATCCCGCCCTTCTCCCAAAGGACTCAGGGCGGCTCACAACATTATTAAAACAAAGAAAGACCCACACACCCCACCGAATAAAACCAAATTAAAACCAAAATTTTTATGTTGTGATAATTAAAATTTCTAAAAAACCCAGTTTAAAAATCCTCCCTAGGCCAGGCCCGCTTGTTGGAAAAGCCATGTCTTGAGGGCGCGGCGGAAAGTAAGGAGATC